ACTGTCCGCTGATGGACAAAAGCCGGGGTTTGAAAAACCAGACTTTCAAAGAAGCGCCCTCTGGGTTGAGTCCGTGTAGCCGCTGACCCGCCACGTGGCCTTGGGCAGACTCCTGGACTTGGAGTGGCTTTCTTGTGGGGCTGCTGTGCGCACGTGTGCTGAGCAAGTGCCCGCCAGAGAAACACTCGGCCCGTGGCAGTGCGTGGAGAAGGGAAGAGGCGGGAGAGCTCAATGATGCAGGGGAAAGGAAGTGCGCTCAGAGACCCCAGACCCGAGTTCTCCTGCACCCGCAGCCCTCCTTCCTGCCAGCCAGCGGCATCCCCTTCCTCACCTGTGTCACACCAAGTCAGAGCTGCATCCGGTTCCCCATGCTGGCCTCATGTCACCGGCCTGGGACAGCACTGGGCAAGTGAGACGTCTGACACTTTCCACCAACTTACCTGATTCCACCCAGAGGGTTCCCTTCGCTGGGAGCCCGAGCATGGCCGTGTCTCCGTGCCCACTGTTCTTTCCTGTCAATGGACGGATCTCCTTGGCCAGCATCCCACGGCTCTGCCTGCCTCTCACCGATTTGGAGTGCTCTGCTGTCCGCTAAGTCTTTCTTTGTGATCTGGGCTACATACATGTCTACTTGCCCTTGGATTAGTTTATGGTAATTCATTTTGCAAGGGAAAAATAAAGTCTTTTTTTTTTAGTTTCTGTTTTATATAAAATTATTTCTATATAAATACGTCCTAGAATGCAGTGAGGACTCACGTTTTAGTGCAAAGCGGAGAAGGCGTAGCAATGTCCCCACGGCTGCGTGGCCCTCCCTTTTGCCCTGGGCAGCCTTCAAGGGCCAGCTGGCTTCTGTGCCAGCATCCCGTGTGAGTGCCTATATGGTTTCCGATCCAGCTCCTTGCTGTTGGCCCAGGAAAGCAGTGCTTGGGCCCCTGCACCCACGTGGGAGACCCAGATGGAACTCCTGGCTCCTGGCTTCAGCCTGGCTCAGTTCCAGCCATTGCGGTCATTTGGGGAGTGAACGAGCGGATGGAAGACCTTGCCTCGCCTCCCCTACCCCTCTTCTTTTTTTTTTTTCTTCTTCCTTCCTCTCTCTTTCTCTCTCTCTCTCTTATTTCTTTCTGTAACTCTTTCAAATAAATTAATAAAATTTCAGGAAAAGAAGAGCCAGCTGTGTTGTTAGATGAATGCCCGGTGGCAGCTCAGGAAGAGCGTGTCTGTTTCTTGCTTGTGTTTATTTTACATTTATAACCTCAGTGCTCTGCTCCGTGCGTTGAGACCTGACCCGGCCAGGATGGCACCCGTGCGCAGTCTCTCCTTGTCGCGTTCTGAGACCTGACCCGGTGGGGGCAGCACCCCTACTACTGCCCCGTTACAGCCCTGTTCTTACAAGGAGGGCTTGGACTCTTCTCCTCTCCTTTGGGTCTGCACAAAGAAAAGTGAATTTATTTTGTAGTAAGACTACTACTAATGAAAGAAGAAACATGTTAAAGAGAACAAGGTGAACTATGAGAGGCATCAGTAACCTTTAGTAATTCTCTGTTTAAAAATTTTACTGTTTCAGGGGGCTGGGGCTGTGGTGTACAGGGTAAGCCACTGTCTTTATTTTATTTATTTGGAAGGCAGAGTTACAGAGACAGAGGGAGAGATGGAGAAAGAGAGAGAGAGGTCTTCTACCTGCTGGTTCACTCCCTAAATGGCCGCAACAGCTGGGGCTGGGCTAGGCTGAAGCCAGGAGCCAGGAGCTTCTTCTGGATCTCAGGGACCCAAGCACTTGGGCCATCTTCCGCTGCTTTCCCAGGTGCATTAGCAGGGAGCTGGATCAGAATCAGAGCAGCTGGGACTCAAACCGGTGGCCATATGGGATGCTGGCAATGCAGGCGGCGGCTTTTCCCGCTAAGCCACAGCGACAGCCCCACATCACATCCTTTTAACTTGATTGTCCCATGAACTCCCTGAAGACCCTGGTGAAGCCCCCTGTGACTGTGGCGGGCCAAGCTGCAGCCCCTGGTCTGGTTAGCACTAGCAGGTGGGGTCGCTGCAAATGTGGCCCTTGGGGACAGTCACACACTTCTGTTCTTCACGTCTGCCTTCTCCCTTGAACTTCAGCTTCTCCTTCCTTCCCAGCTAAAGGTGGAGCCCTAGTGTGTGGCAGACCCCACGCCACTGCACCCCACTGAAATCACTCTCAGCAGCACCAGGACAGGCAGCACGGCAGAGGGAAGCGCTGCGGGCTCAAAGTCAGGCAGCCCTGGGCGCTGCTGTTCAGCGCTATATGGCCTCAGTTTCTTCATCTGCAAAATGGGGTTAAGATTAGAACTTACCTCGTGGAATTCTTATAAAGGAGAAATGAGCCGTGTCAGAGACCTAATCCATCGGGTGCCTACAGTAAGAGCTGTGGGAGTATGTGCCTGCATGCATGACTCTGCGGGTGTGTATAAGTAAATGTGTAGGCACAACTCATGCCTGCCTCTGGAAACCGGAAACTCACGAAGAAGAGACGCACATGCTTAGAATAACTTACTCAAGAGAAATCGTAAATAAAAAAATAAATAAAAAAAGAGAAATCATAAGCACTGATTATATAATTACAAAACCATAAAGTACATAAAGAAGAAAATTTTCTTGAAAAAGTTTTTTTTATTTATTTATTTTACAGGTAGAGTTACAGACAGTGAGAGAGAGACAGAGAGAAAGGTCTTCCTTCTGTTGGTTCAGCCCCCAAATGGCTGCCATGACTGAAGCTATGCTGATCCAAAGCCAGGAGCCAGGAGCTTCTTCCTGGTCTCCCATGCGGGTGCAGGGCCCCATCCTCCACTGCCTTCCCAGGCCACAGCAGAGAGCTGGACTGGAAGAGGAGCAACCAGGACTAGAACCCAGCGCCCACATGGGACGCTGGTGCCGCAGGCGGAAGATTAACCTAGAGCACTACCGCACCGGCCTGATAAAGATTTATTTGAAAGGCAGAGTTACAGAGAGGGACACACACACACACACACACACACACACAGATCTTGCATCTGCTGGTTCACTCCCCAAATGGCCACAGTGGCCAGGCTGGTCCAGGCTAGGCTGAAGCTGGGAGTGACGAACTCCATCCAGGTCTCCCACGTGGGTTTCGGGGCCCAAGTGCTAGGGCCTTCATCTATTGCTTTCCCAGGCAAATTAACAAGGAACTGGATCAGAAGTGGAGCGACCAGGACTTGAACCATTGCCCATATGGGATGTTGGAGTTGTAGGTAGCGGCTTAACCTGTTGTGACACAACTCCAGCTCTTCATTTTTTAAATTTTAAATATTTATTTTACAGGTTGCTACAGAGAAACACACACACACACACACACACACACACACACAGAGACAGAGAGAGAGAGACAGACAGACAAACTTCTATTTATCGGTTCACTCCCCAAATGGCTGCAGTGGCCAGGGCTGGGCCAAGCCAAAGCCAGGAGCCTGGAACTCCATTGGGTCTATCTGGGTGTTAGGGACCCAAGCACTCTGGCCATCTTCTACTGCTTTCCCAGGCCATAGCAGAGAGCTGGATTGGAAGTGGAGCAGCCAGGACATGAACCGGCACCCATATGGGATGCCAGTGTTACAGGTGGTGGCTTTACTCATTAAGCCACAATGCCAACCCTGAAAACTTTTATTTTACTAGAATATGAGGGTACTTCAAAAAGTTGGTGGAAAATTGGAATGAAAATATATTTATTACAGTACAAAAATTTTGAAACCCGTGCATAGTTAATCAGAGTATGCATTTCTCATGAACTTTTTGAAGTCTCCTTGTACAATGTCCTCCTGGGATACCAGACACAGTTCCAAGACTTTGTTATATGTTAACCGATCTGATCCTCATAATAACCTTGGTAGATATTGTTGTTATTCCTGTGTCTCAGATGAGGCACAGAGAGGTTAAGTAACTTACCCAGTGCTACCAGGCTAATATGTGCACAGCCAGAAACCGAACCCCAGCAGTGTAGCCAGAGTCTGCAGGAAACTGAAAGGCACAACTTAGCCTCAACCACACTCACGGCACTGCTGGATCTGCACCGTCAACCCAGCAGACACTGCAATACCACTGCTAATACAGTGGGGATGTATTTCCGTTGAGTGAAACGATGGGCTCGTGTGTGGTGCAGCAGATTGAGCCAGAGCTTGCCATGCTGGATCCCACACTGGAGCACCAGTCTGAGTCCCGGCTGCTCCACCGCCTATGTAGCGCCCTGCTAACGCACCTGGGAAAGGAGCAGAAGATGGCGCAAGAACTTGGGCCCCTGCCACCCGTGTGGGAGACCTGGGTGGAGTTCCTGGCTCCTGGCTTTGGCTTGGCTCAGCCCTGGATGTTGCAGCCATTTGGGGAATGAACCAGCAGATAGAAAATCTTTTTCTCTATTTTTTCCTCTCTCTCTCTCTCTCTCACTATTTTTCAAATAAATACATCTTGAAAAAACTTAAGTGAAATTAAAAATTCAGTTTCTGGGTCCTATCAGCCGTTTATGAAGTGCTCAAGAGGCACAGGTGGATAGGGGCCACCGTACTGGGCAGCTCAGGAACAGAGCGTGTCCAGTGTCACAGAGAGCTCTGTTAGACCACACTGTTGCAGGTAACTCTAGAAAGTATAAGTAGAGGTCAGCACTGTGGCATAGTGAGCTAAGCCTCTGCCTGCAGTACTGGAATCCCATATGGGCGCCTGTTTAGTCCTGGCTGCTCCACTTCTGATCCAGCTCTCTGCTATGGCCTGGGAAAGCAGTAGAGGATGGCCCAAGTGCTTGGGCCCCTGCACCCACATGGGAGACCCGGAAGAAGCTCCTGGCTCCTGGCTTCAGGTTGGCCCAGCTTCGGCCATTACAGCCATTTTGGGAGTGAACCAGCTGATGGAGAATCTTTCTCTCTGTCTCTCCCTCCCTCTGTCTGTAACTCTACCTCTCAAATAAATAAATAAAATCTTTTTTTTAAAAAAAGGTATAACTAAACACAATACTCGAACTCAACAGATATTGCATGGATTTTTTTTAATTAAATACTATTTCATAATGCTATTTGCACCATAGCACACAAATGTTTTGAAAAATAAGACATGCCATATTGGTTATGCGGTTAACAAAATACAAGTGGCCACACAGACTATACTTTAAAGTGACTTTGTTTACACCGCCTCAGGGTAACTTTTATTTATTTATTTTGCCTATCCATAAGCATTTGAAATTTGACCAGATTTGAAAGTCACAAGACTGCAGGATGGGGGGTGGAGGGGTGGGGTCCCCACCGCTCTGACAGGCAGCCTGTATTCACAAGAAAAGCCTTCTCTCTCCCGCCCAGAGTTCCAGTCCACCCTGTCACGTGATGACATCATCAGGCCTGGCTGGGGCTTCGGTCCTTGAAGGCCCCAGGAGGTGAAGAGCTTCTTCTAATGTCCAGTCAGGGAACCCCGAACCTCAGCCTTGGGAGGAGGGAGACACAGTGGGGGTTGGGGAAAGAGGAAGAACAGAGGAGGATGGAAGTGCAAGCCCACGTCTGGGGCCCGTGCTGTAAGGACTTGGCTGCCAGGAAGGAGCCGGGCACCCACCCGTGGCTGAGAGATTCAAGAGGGCCGGGGATTTCAGAATCGCGAGTGAGAACACAGGGGCGGGGCTGTGAACGGCGCGTTGCCCTTCCTCTTCCCTGTGCCCACAGCCAGGGCTGCACCGCCACGGGCGCACGGCCCGCCTATACCCGGGGCCAGGGCCTGCAAGCGGCCAGCCCCCAGCAGACCCAGGAGTCACACCCGGCCCACACAGCCTCCTGCCCAGCCTCTGGGGACTCAGATTGGGAGGCCGGGGAGCGGCCCAGGCCCCAGCGGCAGCTCCTGGGGGCCCCCACACTGCAGCAAGCCTGAAATGACAATGCACTTTGACCTGCTCCTTCCTGGACAGCCACTGGCCCTCGGGGAGGGAGGAGGCCCGGCACGAAGAGGAAGGAGTGAGGAAGAGGAAGCTTGGGAGGCCCACGTGACTACGGGTCACCTGGCGCGGCCCTCGCAGGTGGCTTCCCCAGTCACCTTCACTTTACCCACACCACCCGTACCCTCAGGCTTGGGGAAACCACTTGTGAAGTGGGGAGGGGCCGAATGGCACCAGACACGATCTTAGTTCCTCTTTTGTGTTTTGTTCTTCCAGGCTCAGAGTCTGACCTGGAAAGACGATTTACCACTGTTTGGATTCTTCCTCCACACTCAACAAGGCCTTCCTCCCGGCCCCAGCTGGTCCCGCCGTCCGCTTCCCCTCGAATCATCAGTGGCTCCCATGCCCTCTAGGATACCCTGAGCTCCCCCAGCCAGGTGTTCTCCACCCTCTGCGGTTTGGCCTCCAAGGCTCATCTCCTACCACCTTCCCCAGCCTCCTTGCTTTTCCAAGCCCTGTTCCTAATCTCTGTGCCCTCGAAAAGGTAGGCCCCGCTGGATCGCCGGCTCTCTACGCTCTGCGCGGGTCTCAGCTGGGTTTGCCATCGACCATGAATGGGGCCCAAACCGCCCCCGACTCTGGGCTCCCCCTTGGGCTCAGAACTCAACCTTGGGCAGAGCCTGCGCAGCTGTCCTTTTCTGAGGGCCGTGCCTGCAGTCCACACCCACCAGGGCCCGGATTCCCGCCCCTGCTGACCTGCGGGGCGGGAACCAGGAGGGCACTTCTACAGTGTGTGGAAAACAGAATTAAAAGATGACTTTTTAGGGTGCCAGAGATATTTGAAATCCATGGCTTGTTTTGCATTATACGCAGTTCATAAACTTTTCGAAGACCTCCCCCATTCACAGGGATTTCAAAATATTTTTGCACCAAAAAAAACTTAGCTTTTAATCCCATGCTCATCTGTCTTAGCTTTGTAGCTTCACCCTCCGGGTGCTGAGTGCCCAGCCGGTGCCGTGTCGAGATTGTTAAATTCAGCTGATACCCACGTTAAGGGCAAAAGCTAACTGTTGCCTTCTGAGACGCTTAAGACACGCTACAGAAGAGGTTATCGCGGCAACAGGTCGGGGTTTTCAAAAGCAAGGTGCTGAGTCAGCAAGAAGCACACTCCGTGAAGATCAGTGATCTCTCAACACTGTCTGTGAACACTGTCGCGTTGCCTGTGGGTTGAGCTGCCCTGGGAAGCAGCAGGTGCAGAGGAAGCGGCATCTCCTGGATGGAGCTCTGACGGGATTCACCCAACCTGCTAGCGGGAGGCTGGCGGGGAAAGGAGCTGGGGTCTCGGCCCACCCCGCTGGCCCCGGGCTAAGCTTTCAAGGTGCGTCATCTGGACTCCAGGTGTCACGGTCAATGGTGGAGCTAGTTCTGGGTGCAGACCCTGGGCCCCTGCCCGTCCCGCTTACTCAGAGGACCTGCAGCGGAGGTGTGGGGACGTCTTCTAAGCGGACTCCTAGGGGTCCTCACGCTCGTTCACGTTGACAAAGCTTGACTTGCCTTCCTCTGAAGTCTATGGAGCTCCATCGTGGCTGCAGCTGGAAAGGAGGCGACAGCCCCGCTTTGGGGGGAGGCTTGCTTCTCCTAGACACGCATGTAGGGCACGAGGACCCTGGGGAAGTGAACCAGTGCTCAGTGCGTGGCTCTGCAGAGGAGAGAAGGCGCTCACAGCGCACGCCTGAGCGGTTGTCTCCAAAAACAGCCCACTCCACCCCGATCTTCCTGGAGGGCATGGGTTGCAGGGAGGAAAAGAAGTAGCCAATCAAACAGCCAGATTTTCCGACTCTCCTTTTATATGTGGTGCTATTGCCTTTTGTGAGATTCAGGGGACTATTCTCCGTTTGCGGCTGAAGTCTCAGCCCTCCTGGCTCCTATTCCTCCTCCTTTCCCGACTTCCCAGTTCCTTGGGGGAGAGAACAGCCATCAGGAGTTTTCACGGGCCCCAGACCACGTTTCGGAGCAGATCCATTACACACACACACATCAAGCGCATTTCAGCAGACACTCCGAAGGCAGACGCACCTGCCGAGCGTGAAGAATGGCGTCTTGCACCTGGCGTGGACGTCACCGCACACACGGACCTGGGGGCGGGCATGGGCTGAGACGCTTACACACGACAGGCAGAGGAAGACACGGACTTAGAAGAGTGAAAGCACACTCTGCCTTACGCCAGCTCCGAGCAGGTGGCAGCCTTTGGTCCTTGATGGGGGACACTCAGCGCCCTAGAGGGCGGCAGAGGCTCGCTCCTCCTGCCCACAGGGAATGTGGCTTTCACCCGGGGCCCTCACCCTCTCCACTGGAAATGTGCAAGACCAAGACAACACGTCTGTGCCAGACAAAGCCTTCCCATCACGCCTGCCCCTTTAAAAAGCAGACTTGGAAAGGCAAGCGAGGACTCAGGGCCGGACCACCGCCAGCTGGGCCTGAAGAGTCACAAACGCAGGGCAGGTGAGCCCGGCCCCAGGCGCTCATTCCTTCTTGCTGTGTTCCAGGACTCGGTAGGGAACCCCAGAGGCGTTTCTGGAGCCGTGTTCTTCTTGCATGACTGGCAGCGTGGCAGGCGCGTAGATCTCAGAGATGCTGTCGTTGTTTTCCAGGGCTCCGTAGGAAAAAGACGCTTTGAGGTCGGGCTGCACTGCCATCCCCTTGTCATGCATGTTTTGCATACCTGAAATGAAATCCATTTTCCCCAAATCACGATGTGTTAAGGGGGCCACAGAGGCTCTGTCTTCCTCCGTCCCACCCCAGACCAACGCTGGCGCGCGGGAGCTGATCCTGTGCCTGGTCATTTCCTGAATGTGTGAGATGCCAACGAGGACATCCATAGATCGACACCAGAAATTACCACAGTTGCTAGGCAACACGGGATGAATCTTCAGGAAACAGACACGCAGACCAGCCATTGTAAGAACAGCCATCAACTGGTCTAAAATGGCAGGACTGTCGGCTGGGGCCCAGGAGGAGGGGGATTAGCACTGTGCTTTGGACATGGTAGATGCCTCACGGAGGACTCAGATCAGGTCGGGGAGACATCGCGGTCCTCTTGAGGTAGGAGGGTCACAGACACCTGCGGGTGTGCCCAGGGAGAGGTTTGACCTTGAACAGCAGCATCCCTGGCCCACATTTGCTAATTACTTCCCAGAACACTGATGTGGGATTTCTATTCACACTTGAGGACAAAGACCTCGGTGGCTTTAACCTTAACCCCTGCTCCCTGGATGGGGCACCTGCTTCCTGCCGGGGTGTTAGGACCCTCAACCTGTCCTGCCTCCAGGACGGGTTGGAGTGAGTTGCATGCAGAGTGTCTTCCTTGAAGCTGTGTCGGTCGTAGCAGCTGGCAGTGGACGCTTATAGTGCCCTAGGCCCTGGGCAAGCACTTTAAATAGTAACGGCAGCAGCAGCTACCATGATGGTGGATGGGCGCTGGGCCTTCAGGTGGTGGAAGACGCTGCTCTAACCAGCGACACAGTTTTAGTTCATTTCTTCTCCTGGTGACCGGGAAGGGAGTTAATGAGCCTGAGCTCACACAGCTGGCAGATGGACAGAGCTGCCAGGGTACAGATGGGGAGACGGGCAGTAGACTCTGACACCCACCCACTCATCCAGGATGTTGTGTGGCCTCTCCATGCACCTGCACGTAATCCCCAAACAGTCCTACAACAGCGATGAGCTACTATGCTCGTTTCCTGGATGAAGAAACTGAGCCTCAGAGAGGTACAGTAACGGTTTCAAGGTCACACAGCTAACGGGGGAGTAGGACCTAATGCGAGAGCCAGGCTCTCTTCTCCGATCCACTCTGCAAACGGCCTCGGAAGACCCCATCTGCGGATGCCCCTTTGCCTCCATCTTGCACTGGACAGAGCTGATGGTCATTTGAAGGGCAGAGTTTAGGAGTCTGGGGTTTGGAGTTGGTGGGGTGGAGGGTACAGGAGAGAAAGCTGGCTTACCAGGCATCAGGAAGCTTTTGGATAGCTTCCAGCCAAAGCACATCAGGCCTACACCTGCAGTCCAAGACGTTTGGGTTTATGGACTCGTAGCAATGAGGGGTACATACACTGTGGGGAAAGCGTTAGTATGGGATGCAGGTTTGCATTAGGTACTTGGGGGCGGGTCCAAGGAAGTGCTTTGGATTCCGTGGAGCCAGGAAGCTGGGCTAATTCTAAAATCGGGATGTTTCTAACTCCATCTAGGAGGAGAAAAGACCGGAAGGAGGCTACGTGAGAGCTGAAGCAGTGCAGTCCTCAGATTAGCCAGGACCGGCGGTAGGGGGGCTCTATGGGCTGCACGAGGCTCACGTTTCGCCTGCGCCAGAGATGGCCACGCAGTGGCCCTGTGTGCGTCCTGATCCACAGTGGTGGATGCCGAGTTTCTGTGATATGGTCAGCGTGAGCCACAGAGCGCCGAGGCCCTGCTGTGGGTGGCCAGGCCACTCCGGGGGGGCTGCAGGATGCTTCCCCAGTTTTAAGAAGTCTTTGAGGTGCATGAATTGCTTAGTCTCTGTAAATTGTGCAGCGTGGGGGGTGGCTTGTTGGGAGCCACCAGCCTGCTGGGAAGACACTGACCAGGCAGATGGAGCGGAAGGGCCGTTTGCTGCCCAGGGAGGCCGGGGGCCAGAAAAGCCACCTTGGCAGGTGATCATGGCCACAGCAAGCTTCCTGAGGCCGCCTAGCACACTCCCAGCCCATAATAGTTCTCTGTATACCTGTTGCCTAGTAACTTGTAATTCTATAAAGTTGCATTTGAAAAAAACAAAATCCTCTGAGCTATCTTCCTAGTGTCCCTGATAAAACTGGATGGAACCAGCTGCAGCCAGCTCTGGAACTGGAGCCCACGAAGATGGCTCAGCCTGCCCTAGAGTCCCCTCCTGTTCATTATGGTGGGAAGTGACCCACGGCTGATGACGTTTCAGCAGCCACCACTGGCATCGAGGGACACGAGGACGTGCTTCTCCAGGCGCCCTCTCCAAGGACTCCCCCGGCCCTTCCCCCACACCTCTCATTTTCTGCCGCTCAGTCTCACCCAGCTCCGTCCCAGTCGCCCTAACTCCCTAAAGTCCCAAGGCTCCGTACGGGCAGACTGATTTGGGCCTCCACGTCCCTGCCCTTTCTCCGACAGGCCCATAGTAAAATCAAACATTCTCAGATGGGGATCTAGAATCTTTGTAAGAGGTGCACATGAGCAGGGGCCCTGCCCACTACCACCTGTCACTCATGGCTTAAAACTTTCCAGGGTTTTCAAAGCAAAAGGAATGGAAACCAAATTTCAAGCCAGGCATCTACCATGTCCCAGACACCGTGCCGGACACGACGGTACCTCCAAAAGGTCATGGAACGTGACATGAAAAGACCAGTTCATTTTGGTGCAAAAAGTTTGGAAATCCATGCAGCTTTTTCATAATATTAATTTTCCACAAACTTTTTGAAGACCTTGTATGTGCATATATTTCAACTTTTTTGTACCAAAATAAACTTATCGTTTCCAATCCACTTTCCGTGAACTTTTTGAAGTACCCTCGCCTGATTCCACTGCTCTGAACGAAGGAATGCCGTTTAGAAGTGGGGCTGAGAGGCCTGGGGAGGTCACCAGCAGGTGGGTGCAGAGCTGCGGCTAGAACTCTGTCCCGGGAACTCCAAGCCCACACGCTCACAGCACAGAACACACGCGAATCAGAGGGCTTCCTGGCCTCGGCATCTGACTTCCCACTGGTACAAAGAGGAAGAAAGCCCAGAGCCACACCCGCAAACAGGCCACAGAATGTGGGTAGGCGAGGTTACCTTAGGTGGCCCTGTGTTACTTCCCGGAGGACACATACATATATGTGTATCTAGATGCATGTGCACATATCTACACAGATATCTGCATATACATACACACACGGAGTTCATAGACCACAAACACACGTGCACGTACACCACGTACACATACTTGCACACACAGAGTTGACACCTCACCTATCTGGAATTCAGCTATCCAGCGCCCTCATCTATCCGGAACACAGCCGAGAAATAAGGAAGTAAGCAAAAAAGGCATCTGAGCAGCCAGATTAGATGTTTGACAAGACAAGTCCATGCACTGAAGCTCATGCACTTGACTTCCGGGGGAAATCTCAGGTCTCCCGCTCAGAGCCCATTCACTCTGGTATCGCACAGGGTTGGGACGCGTTGGCTCAAATGAGAAGACTGACATGGAGTTGGTACCCTTGGGCAGGCAGGCTGGTGACAGCAAGAATCACAGACAATGGCTTGAAAGCAAGACATGAAGAACCAACGCGGAAAGTTGACATGCACCCTGGGGCCGCTGCTAAGGAGACCTCGGTCAGCCCTGAGCACACAGCTGCTCCTGACTCAGCAGGTGCACTGGGCCATCCCCACGGCTGGCAGGTTATGCTGACGAAGGCTGGGAGAGTCCCATCCCAGTGATTCCACAGAAAAATTGAGATCGAGCTACAGTGGGAAGCGAGTGGTTATTTAGGTCAGCAGACCCAACAGGGCCGGCCCAATGCCTTACCTTTTTCTTTTATTTTTTAAAAAAGATTTATTTATTTTGAAAGAGTTACAGGGAGAGAGATCTTCCAACTGCTGATTTACTCGCTGGGTGGCCACAGTGGTCGGCGCTGGGAGAGGCCAAAACCAGGATCCAGGAGCTTCTCCAAGGTTTCCCACATGGGTGGCAGGGACACAAACACTTGGGCCATCCTCCAATGCTTTCCCAGGTGCATTAGCAGGGAGCTGGATCGGAAGTGGAGCAGCCAGGACACAAACCGGCGCCCATGTGGGATGCTGGTGTTGCAGGTGGCAGCTTTACTGCTATGCCACAGCGCCGGCCCTGCCTTACCTTCTTCTAATCTGAATCCCTCAGGACCTCTGCACTTCTCCACAAGCCCCACCACTCCCTCTTGGGCATGTTTAGGCTTAGAGGCACTTGAGCTAGAATTTCCCAGCAGGAACCTTTAGCTCCCTGGGAAATGAGATTTTTCCAGAACAAGCCACTGCCCTGTGGAATCAAGGTTATAGTATTTGAATTTCATTCATCCCACTTCCCTTCCCTGCTCTGATTGTTCCATTCCAACCAGATGAATGGATCTTTCCATTTGTGGGCCAGAAGCCCGGGCGGCAGATCATGACCTCATCCAGTGGCATCTGGCTTTTCCCGGAACAGACACAGGAATCGGCAAGATGTGCTCAGAGCCAACCGGGGTGCCTCAGCCATTGCCTCCTCTTCTGCACAACGTCATTAAGAACAACAACAACAACAACAAAACGACAGCGAGAGAACAGGCACACCACGATGGCACGGCAACCTCTCCTGCACCAGGCCTGGCGCTGGCAGTGGCAGGCACGCTACATGACGGCCAGCTGGGCGGGCACAGGGGGCTCTCACGTTACCTGGCATGGCATCCATGGAGATATAGGGCTCAAATGGAATGGCCTTCTTCCTGTTCCGGGTGATGAGGAAGACACCCAGGAATGCGATGAGGCACCTGGGCATGGGAGATAAGGGAGGAGAAGAAATCAGGCTGGGGGTGGGGGCAGGGGAGTGGGCGGCTGGGCCTGGGAGCAGCAGGGAGCCGGTTCTAGTGGCAGAACAAGAATCCATGCAGCCCCGCACGCTGCACGCCCCCACGGGAGTGCAGAACAAATTAACCTCCCCGAGGCGAAACTGCCACTCGGCCCCTGCTCTCAGAACCCTGCCTTTAAATGCATCTTGTTTTTATTAAAAATTCTCTATGGCCTGAATTCAACCACTGCAGAGTCTAGAAAAGTAAACACTGGAAACCCCCCCCCCCCTTGCACCTGCTCTCCCAGGTGCGGGGTGCGCAGTCGCCCCTCCTATCCATGGGGGACGGGTCCAGGACCTGCCTCGGAGCCACCATCCATGGATAGTCACGTCCCTTCCATGACACGAACGGTGTTTGCACACCGCCTACACACACCCTCCTGCACACTGAATCATCTCCAGGCCGTGCAGTACAGGTAAATACAACGTAAACAGATGCTCTCCTCTATCAGGGGATAAGGGGGAAAATCTCTCAATGTTCAGATTGATGCAAATCTTAAAATCTAGTTTTGGCTCCTGGTTGGCTGAATCTTTGGATACTGCTGAAGTATTGCTTGTTTTCTAAAATATCCCCTTTTACTTACAGAAACAAGCACTCTTCCTATAGAACTGTGGGCGGGAAAAGGCACACAGCCGCTAGGTACGGCGGGATGAACTGGACTTGTGTGCTCACCTCCCAGACAAGGTGGAAAACATTTCCACCCGCTCCGGGAGCTTCCCAGGCTCCTGCCCAGAGGTGACCTCCCTCCCCACGGATTAGGGTCACCCGTTCTGGGATTCTCCTGAGTTCAATCCCACAGTGTGCTCTCCTAGATGTCTCTCTCACTAGATAAAATGTTTCAAAGAGCCATCTACTCCCTGGTGTGTGTTAGCATCTTGTTATTTTAACTATCGTCTGGAATCCTGCGTCTGAATACGCTACACATCTCTCCTGAGTCTCCTGCTTGTAGACACTTGGGGTGTTTCCAGCGTAGGCCTCTGATGAGTGACGCTGCTATCAGCACCGCTGTGCAAGTCATCTTGTCATCTTGTTTCATCTAGATCACAGGGCAGGCCACTCTGGGGACAAGGACACTTTTTTCATGTAATGTCCCAACATGGCTCCAAGCCAGCGGCCTCGGCTTTGCAATAGGGCAGCACAGGGCACTACCGGGTGGATTTAGAATCATTCATTTATCCTGTGTTCTACTGCTGGACACTCACTGTTAGCTCACCCAGCTAATTCAAAATAAAGGGCCACATACGTATGTCTCTGAGTCCCCCTTCAAGTACTTTCCCCAAGACAAAGGAAGAGAAACGGAAGCTTGCCCCGGGCAATATGCTCATGAGAGTTTGTGGGTTGAGAGTGCCCGATGCGCACCCTTGTTGAAGGACCGCCAGCGGGGGTCCCGTCCTCTGGCCCACCTGCTGGTGCTCGCACAAGGATGGGGTCTCAGCTGGCCTGAGGCGCACTGCTAGCTCTGAGCTGAGGACGAGTCTTCTCACGTGATCAAAGTATTTTAGAAATGACAAAGAGAGGGAGGCCACAAGGAAGATGGGGACAGTGCCCTCTGGGAGTAAAACGCTCACCTCCAGGGCAAAGCCCCAAAGGCCAGCAGCTCCCCTGACCTTGACCCTGACCCTGACAGATGGCGCTCCAGCGGCTGAGGCCGTCACAAGCGGTGGGGGGGGTGATCCATGACTCACCCCAGTGCAAACATGCAGACGTGCAGTGCGTCCTCCCCGACGAAGTCCAGGTAGAAGACGGCACCTGCAGCAGCAGAGAAGAGAAGTCACCGGTCAGCGGGCTCTTCTGCATGTTCGCGAGGCTGCGGAATCCCCCTCCCAGCAGAGGCAGGGCCCCCCCATCCCAGCCCCGGGGGTAGAGAAGCCTGAGCCGTTCTGGTGGGAGGCAGAAGCTCAGTCACCAGGGACACCCCCTTACCTGCTGTGATGGCCACGGTCGTGGACAGGATGTAGCCCACGCTGGCAATCAGGGAGGAGTCGTATATCTGGGAGGCTTGGCTTAAAAACCTTCAACACAAAAGCACTCGGTCAGCGGGGCTGTGGGGACCTCAGAAAGCTGACCACAGCGGGGCTCGGTTTGCACGAAGGAGCACTCCCTGGCTTAGGAAACACCACCCTCACATTCGGGGGCACCGGCGATCCTACGTCTGGACTCCACACCCTGCTCCCATTCTTCCCGGGAACCCACGGCCCGAGGCCCATCCACATTCTCCGGGTGGAGAGGGCCACGTGTGAGTGACCACGTGGTCCCTGCCACTTTCTTTCACCTGCGTCTCCACTCCAAAGATCCGGTGCTGAGTCTTCCACACACCTCCTCCCAGAAACACCCTGCCTAGTGGTGTAATGATTTTCTAAACAAATTTCCCTTCTTAATTCAAAACCAATGTGATCACTTGCATCAAGACAGGAAAAGGAGAGAAAATCAGAGAGACTCCGAGTCCCCTGGTCCACGATCAACCCTACTTTCCTCTTTAGGCATAGACATTCCCGTTCTTCCTGCTGCTTCCACCACAGTGCACTGAGCACTCCACTGCCGTCACCCATTACCCGGCTGCCATGCCACTCACTGGGGCAGGGAGGGCCATTGGGGCAGGGACCACCGTCACGGGCGGTGGAAGCCACTGTGCTGTCTGGGTGAACGTGGAGCTCCCCGGGGAGGGAGGCGTCTCTAACCCTGCAGTGCTCAGCTCAGAGCTTGCACTGGCACGGGCTCCCTGGTGAGGACCCAGACCATCGCAGGACTGAAGATAACCACGACCACAGCCACAATGCTATGGTCACAAACACAGCTAATTTGCACTGGACACTGTCCTGGGGACCGTCCTGAATGGCTCGTGTCTCTCAGGTGGGGGCTGCTGTTCTCATCTGAGGATGGAGAACCTGAGCAGGTGGCAGCGGAGTGGGGCGCGGGCCGGGTTCTGCCACCTCCCAGGCTCTGCAGCTTTTGCCTCGGTTCCCTGGGCGCCAGCAGGGAAAATACGAGGAGGGGACTTCAAAAGAGTTTGTGGAAAAAAAAATGGAATGAAGATGTTAAGTTTATTTTGGTGCAAAATTTTTGAAATCCATGCGTAATTTTTCTTTTTGCAATACACATTTGCCACAAACTGAAGCCCCCTCGTATGATCTACCTCTGAGTGTGCTGTGAGGACCACAGGAGTTAGTTCTGTCCAGCACTGGGAGCATAGCTGGTACGCACCAGGCACCTGGTCAGCAGCGGCTACTGCTACGAGCTCTGCAGGCCGCACGGCTGGTGGATGTGAGCCTGGCTGAGCCTCCCAGGCAGCACTGGCTCGCTCACCGGGCCAAGGCCAACCATCTTCGTGGAGCGCCTCCCCCCTCCCAGCCCGCCGTGGGTGTGAGCAGTGCACAGGCCCTGCCCTCAGGCCTGCTGCTTTCCACTTAACTCCTCTGCTCTGGGAGGGGTAAGCACCTCGCTCTTGGCTTGGGAGATGCCAGCAGGCGGGAAGAGACCACCACTTTTATTTTCTGCTTGCAGGAAAGTAGGTGCACCCTTCCCCCCAGGGATGGCAAAGTGTCGCCTGAAGTCCCAGAGACGGATGCCAGCCTTAGAGAAGATGGGGAACCAAGCTGCCTGCAGACGGCACAGCCCACACAGGGTGAGGCCTGGCAACAAAACCACGCCCACTGTGGGCTTCCGCTTCTATGCAGGTGGCTCAAGCCCCTTCATGGGCCAAGGCAGCAGCAAACACACCGGATGCCGAGCCCTGGTCATCTGAATGTTCCGCCGTCCCTTCCCCATGGCTTCCAAACCAAACGTGGTCAGAACCTCCACATGGAAGAGACCCATGAGGGCGAGGACGAGCAGGAGAAGCACAAGTGACTCACGCGGCCTGATAGATGGCGGTAGCCACCATGCACACGAACATCACGTAGAAGATGGGGTAGTCGAGCTGCAGGTCTCCTTGGATGGACAGGACCAGCATCCCGGCCACGGCCTTGACCGTCACCACCGTCATGGAGCCTGTGTGCAGGGAGACAGAGCCTTTACTATGGTTTATAACCCGAAGGGCGCGGTGACGGAGCCACCTGATAGTTCACGGGAGAAGACACGGCCCTGTGGGTCTGTGCTGAGACACCAACAGCCGTGGCCAAGATCGGACAACTTGTTCAGCGTGCTGAGCCCCTGTGCTCCTGGCACTGTGCCTGGAACACAGCGGGAGGCCCGGCGGCAGCCGAGTGACTGAGGCTCCCAGTGCAGGCCTGTCGGGTACAGAGAGCCCACGGGGGGTGGGGTGGTTGAAGGCTGAGCCACGTGTGCTTTTACAAACATTCCTCTGTTTTGGCACACTCATTCCTGTGCATCTGCACATACACTCCCAATACACGCAAGTTTGCTTGCATCTTATACTCTGGTCCTGTTGGACTGTGCCTATGTCGTGGTCATGACAGAGCACAGGCAGGAAATGTAATTCAAAAGGCACAGAAAAAAGTTACATAACTTCTAAGTGTTTCTTCCCAGATACCCAGTGCACTGTCAAGCCCACGTCACTACAGAGACCCTCGTAAGCTTTACCTAGTGGTATAGAAATGACTTTGGTCACCTGTCAATCCCTCCACCGAAACAGGAGTTAAACAAAACAAGCCTGGGGGTGGGAGGACATTTACCTTACAGGTTAAGATGCTGCGTGGGACACCCAAATCCTCTATCAGAGTGCCTGGGTGCCAGGCCCAGCTGTGCTCAGGATTCAATCACCTGGGAGGCAGCAAGTGGTGGCCCAAGTACTTGGGCACCTGCCACCCACATGGGAGACCTGGATGCGGTTGTGGGCACCTAGCTTTGGCCTGGTCTAGCCACAGCTGCTGCAGACATTTGGGGAATGAACCCATAGGTGGGAGATTTCTCTTTCTCTCTCTCCCTAGTAAATAAAGTTAAAATATTTTTTTAAAAGCCCAAATCTGATACAAAGCCCTTTCCCACCTGCTCCCCTGGGGAGCTGCTCTGCCAACAGCCCCATCACACACGGAGGCTTCCAGGCCCCTTGGCCATCAGACGACAGCTTCCGGATGCACACAGCCACTTAAGACAGACATTTGTCATCGGGGATCTTGGAGAGTGACCGGGGGTTCGGCAGCTGCCTCAGAGCCTTCTGGACTTCCTACTCACAGGGGAAGACATCTCTGGACCATGATCTTTGCAACCCATTTTGCAAACCAAGTCAACAAGGAATGAAGGACTGATTCAGGTTACAAAAAGGGACGAGAGGAAGCCAGTCACAAAAGGCCGCAGAGTGCCTGAGTACGAAAGGCAGGAGGTGGACTCAGGGCGGCCTGCGATGGAGGGAGGGGGCGCTGGGGTTTCTAGAGGGTGGACTAGCGGTGGCCTGGGGCTGGAGGGAGGGGGTGCTGGGGACTTCCAGAGAGCCCGAGGTTTCTTCTTGGGGAGACAAAATGTCCCACAATTAGACAACAATGATGATGGTTGTACAACTCTGCGCGTACAGTGAACGCCACTGAAGCGTGCACTTTGAACAGGTGAACTGGAGGGCACACGGACTACGTCTTGATAAAGCTGTTTCAAAACAAACGAATCAAAACCATGTGACCTGTCTTCAGGACAGCTGCCTTGTGGTTTGCGGCCTTGGGGGGGGGGGCCTGCAGCAGGAAGGGCAGAGGGGACGCAGCAGATGTGGGGCGCCCATGCTCTTCTCTGCTCATCTCCCCCAGGCCTCCGTGGGATTTGAAACGGGGAGTATGGTTCTCAGCGCGAGAGCCACCAGCCCAGGGCTGCAGAGGGCGGGAGGCGGCAGCGGGGCTCCAGCCACGTGTCTGCCCCTGGAGGGCCGGCTTTCCCCAGCTCTGCAGCACTTGGCATGAACAGGGCCTCTCCCACTGCACACCCAGTCCTCTGACAGGAAGGGAGGAGGAGCAGGGACTGGCTGAGCCCTTGAACCCAGGGCTGGTCCCTACCCGTGGAGGCTCCACACGGACCTCCCAGGGTGCGCGCGTTGGAACCTGCTGAACCTGCGCCCTGTTCCTGATCCTTTCTTCTCACTGCAATGGCCCCTGCCCAAAGTGACATCGCCTCTGTGTCTCCCGCCATTTCCTCCCTTTCAAATGGAGGCTCTCCGAGGACAGGGCTGTGTCTGTCTCGTCCTTGGCATAGCCCCAGGTCCTGGCACGTACGCGTCCCTTGGTGCTCCGGCGAGAACGCTGGACACCACGGGGCTGCCCCCGGCCAGCAGGGCCCTGGATCCTTGCAGCTGCCCATGGAGCGACCGCCTGAGCCACCCCCGAGTGACTTCCGTCTCCAGAGCCCTCGTTGGCTGCCGGTGCGGCCTCCCGCGGACCCCAGCTTACCGAGCAAGGCCACCAGTAGGAGAACCACAACGATGTTGTTGGCGTTCTTCTCCTTGTAGAAGTACAGCAGCAAGCAGAAGAGCACGATCTCCAGGAGCTACGGGAAGCGGCAGGGGCGGGGGTCAGTGGGGAGCCCCCGTGGGCTGGACCCCACGCAGGCTGCCGAGTACCTTCAGGTCACAGGAACTCAGAGGTGAAAGGGAATGAGACAGCCAGCATCTCCCAAGTACCGCTCGCTCAGGGGAAAATGCAGGGCGAAAACTCCAACCCCCAGCGGCACTGGGAAGGAGACCCTGTCCCCTTTACGCCCTAGCTTTGGGGGGAGGGGTGGGCTGGCCTCGTCGCCGCCCTGTCACATCTGGCCCTGATGCATGGAGCTGGGATGATCTCATCCCACGTCACTGCTTCATGGGTGTCCCCGGGAAAACTGGGGGGGGGCTCCTCAAGGAGGCAGACACTTGCTCACGGAGTCAAGTGCACAGCCCCCTTGTTCCTGACCAAGCTGACGTGCGTGGCTTCCCAGTGCAGGAGGAGGAAGGCACCGGTGTCTGGGCTGGATCCTGGGGTAAGTCTCTTCACTCCCCAACACCGCAGTGTCGCCGCCGTGGAACAGGTAGGCCAATCTTCGGTCTACGAGGCCACGTCGCTGCGCACACGTAACGCGCTCTCATTCCAGGCCAGGCGCTGTTCTGAGAGTTTCATTCATGCTGCACTCGTTACAGCACAGTGGTTCTGTGCAGCGGGCACTCCTGCAAGGCCCAGCTAGCAAATGGTGGAGTCTGGGTTTGACGTGGACAGCGCAGCTCCAGGCCCAGGCATCTCCCCGCAGGGCCGCACTGTGTGTGTGTGTGTGGGGGGCAGGAAGGCGCTCAATCCAGACACTCACTCTTAGACAAGGGCAAGTCCGACCTTCTAGACGCTGCCCGCCCGTGGCCGTGTCTTGTCTTTTCTATCCCTTGCAGGCCCAGTCATTTGGCATCGCTTTCCCAAAGAGCTGACCCAGCCCCAGCACACGGCGAAAACCACCGGGGAAAATGCAGACGATGGCTCAGCCCCGGTGGCCCCCCCGGCTTGGTCAGCATACAGACCCCATGCAGACACAGCAGTGGGTAATTAGGGACCATGCAACACAGCTGTCTTCACTTCCCCTGTTTCTTCCTTGTCTGTCCCAGGGACTGTTTTCAGTGATGGTCAACCGTCTCTATGTTGTAGGAAGTCGTCATAATTGTCTTTAATTGCAGCCGAATTCTTCACCAGGCTGATGCAGGGGCCCACGTCAACACTGCCAGCCACCCGGCATGCACTCAGGGGTGGGGGTGCCTGCTGCTCGGCTGCTTCCCCCCACAGTTCTTTACGATGCGGAGACGAGTGCTGGAACGCACTCGGCTTTAGATGCTGAGCTGGCTGCCGCCAACAGCCCTGAGTTCCGTGAGCAGCGTTTACGGCTTCAGCTCCACCGTGCTGGCACGCGGCAAACGTGCAGTAGATATTGACTGATTTTGGTTCCATAAATCACCCCAGCTGGCAGACCACCTTGCAGGCATGGGGAAGCCAGACAAACGGAATCATTCACCGAGCAGCCACCACGTGCTGGGTGATTCACTCGCTGCTCGGTGTATCTCCCAACAACAATGCTAAGTCCAGTGATTCTCACCAGCATGAGAAGGAAACAGAGAGGGAGAGTGACTTGGCCAAGGCCACGCAGCACATACAGGGTTGGAGGCCAGGATTCCTCGAGGGAAAGGCCTGCAGTGGGGTCAGCTTTGGCCTGGAGACGTGCGTCTTTGGCTGTGCTGTGTGGACATTGCTCCATGCCCACCAGAGAGACCTGGAGCTGGCTGACCCAGAGCGCCTGCACAGCCCCAATCTCAGGCAGTCTGTTCTTCACCTAGGAAGCCATGTTCCAGGGCCCCTCAACCAATCAGGGCCCAGGCTGCTTGAGTCAGTGGAAAATGACAAGCTCCGGGAAATGCAGACCACACCTGGGGCCAGGAGCCCGCAGCCAGCCTGGCTCTGCCCTGTGGGCTCTGATGGAGTCGGCTCAGCTCCCCGAGGCCCAGTTTTCTCATGAAATGGGGGGAAACACTTACTTTCCTGGATTGCTGAGAAAACCTAAGACAATACCTAAAAATGCTGAGCTTGGTGCAGGGCATGGAAAAAGAACACACCGGAAGCTCTCTTGAAGACCCTACGTGTCCGCCTGGGTTGAGCTGCAGACCTAACGCGGATGTGATTGGAGCGAGAGGACTGAGGGGTGGTGCGGGGAGAGGGGACGCATTTCCCAGGGTCTCCTGGCTTTCTGTTTTCACACTGTAAATCATTTAGGATGCTAACTTTTTTCTCACCATAAAAGTTAAATGGTCACCGTAGAGATGTTAATAAAACACAGTCCGAGACAGGTCTTGGAGACAGCTACTGCTAGACTTTCCATTTCTCCATCAGGCTGGACAGACATGTGCAGTCTGTCCTCATGGCTGGGCAGTAAGCTGGCAGCCGCCTGTCTGGTTCTGGACAGCACTCGGGCGTGAGTGAAGTCAGCATTTCTCCGTGAGCCCCGCCCTCCGCAAGCGTGGTCTGCGGGGCCTTGTGCTTCACAGGCTCCAGGTTTCTGCTTTCTGGGACTTGGTCCCTGACCCCTCCCCGCCCCCCCCCACCAGGTGGGAGGACCCGGGGCTCCTCTTACCATGTACAAGAGGAAAGGCCAGCTCACGAGGTGTCTGGTGACGTTCTCGCCCGTCATCTTCTCGTGACTATTGGGTGCAAATGTCACCAGCAGGTAGGTGCCCACGACGGCCAGCCCGCAGCCAACAAAGGACAGGACATAGCGCCCTGGGGGAGGGAGAGGCCGGGCTCAACCTGAGCTCTTAGCTGTGGAACAGCAGGCTCCTGTACAACACACCATGGCTGTTACTGTTTCTGTTTTTCGGTTTTCTTCTTCTTCTTCTTCTTCTTTTTTAAGATTCATTTTATTTATTTGAAAGTCAGAGTTACAGACACAGAGGGAGAGACAGAGATCTTCCAACTGCTGGTTCACTCCCCAAATGACCACCGTGGCCGGGGCTGGGTCAGGCTGAAGCCAGGAGCCGTTTTGGCTGTCTGAGGTGTGAACAGGCAGATGGAAGACCTCTATTTCTGTCTCACTCTCTGTCTGTAACTATGCCTCTCAAGTAAGTAAATAAAATCTAAAAAAAAAAAAAAAGAAAAAGAAAAAACCATTGGGGCACAGTGGTGAGAAGCTGTCCATATTCTCATATTCCTTGAGCAGGCTTAACACCTTAATTTTAAATAATTATCAAAATTTTATCCCTGTCATCAAACACATTTCAGTGTTTGATGAATGTTTGTAGATTCAAAGATGTGGCTGAAGTAATTAATTTAAGCATTATTTTCAATAAATTTCATAAAAAACAGCTTGACCATTGATGTTTTTAGGAACTCAAAAAGTTAACATATGCTCAGCAAGTAAGAACTGGGTGTGCAGTGACTCACTGTTCTTCGCTGAGCTCAGTCTCCTAATCCATGGAATGGGGATACGCCTCACTCAGTCGTCAGCGGATCAGCCCCTTGAGTTAGCCCTCCTGCTAGGGATTCGATATCCTGGTATATGTAATCCAGAGGTGATGACAAACTCTCTGACTTCAAGAACAACAACATGAGGAAGAATTCTGAGGAATAAGTGCTGTGGCAGGGCTGCACTGAGCTGTCTCTGGAGCGAATCCCTGTCATAGGTGACATCCTGAAGTCTTTGCTGGGCACGTGAGAGGCTTTCTTGTCAGAATGCCTGATCTAAGTCCCAGCTTCTCCACTTCTGATCCAGCTTCCTGCTGATAAACTGGTGATGGCTTAAGTACTTGGCCCCTGCAACCCAGTGGGAGGCCTGGATGGAGCTCCTGGCTTCTGGCTTAGGCCTGGCCCAGCCTTGGCTGTTATAGTCATTTGGGGAGTAAACCAGCAGATGAAGATGTCTCTCTCCCTCTCCCTCTCTCAGCCTTTCAATTAAGAAGAACACATAAACAATATTATTTAAAAACTAAAAATAACATTTAATGTTAAAAAGAACTCTAATGAGGCATGTATACAGAATCCTTGCAAAGCAAACACACCCATGAAACCCTCACCCAGATCAAGCAGGAAAAAGCAGGACACCGAATTCCCCGATCCTAGACTCCCAGTCCTGGGGTAACCCATCTTGACTTGTAACAACACGGATGGCTTTGTCGGTATGGCCCTTTACACTAGGGGTCCTACAGAATGTTCTGGTGTGTGTGCGTGCGGCCTGAGGCGTGTGCCATCTCTGTGCTGTGGAGTGCAGCAGCCAGCCTCTCATGGCTGCCCAGTGCTGTGCTCTGTATTACACAGTAGGAAAACGAGACAACTGAGCCATTCCACTGTGCGGGGCACTTCAGGGCTCTTCACAGAATGCGGCTGTGAACATTCTCGTACCCGCCATTTGGGAAACAAATTCCTGGTCCCAGCGGTGACCTGTGAGAGCTCCGCAGGCACTGTCCCGGGGTTTGCCGAGGTGGCTGTGTCACTCTACACTTCTACCGGCACAGTGCGGGGGTTCCGAGTGCACCTGCCAACACTTAGCGCTGGCCATCTGCAGGGTAGCCAATACTGTGATCTCACTGTCGTTTTACAGGGAACATTTTTTTTATTTTTTTTATCTATTTCTTTGTTTTGACAGGCAGAGTGGACAGTGAGAGAGAGAGACAGAGAGAGAAAGGTCTTCCTTTGCCGTTGGTTCACCCTCCAATGGCCGCCGCTGCAGCCGGCGCACCGCGCTGATCCTGGCAGGAGCCAGGATCCAGGTGCTTTTCCTGGTCTCCCATGGGGTGCAGGGCCCAAGCACCTGGGCCATCCTCCACTGCACTCCCTGGCCATAGCAGAGAGCTGGCCTGGAAGAGGGGCAACCGGGACAGAATCCGGCGCCCCAACCGGGACTAGAACCCGGTGTGCCGGCGCCGCAAGGTGGAAGATTAGCCTATTGAGCCATGGCGCCGGCTCTACAGGGAACATTTTAAGGACAGAGTCACTCTACGGGCTAACTAAAAACAAATAACACAACAAGAATAAATTCTCATGGCTAACGTGTACCTTTTATTTTTATTTTTATTTTTTTAAATACTTACTTTTTTTTATTTTTTTTTTTTATTTTTTTTATTTTTTTTAATTTTTTGACAGGCAGAGTGGACAGTGAGAGAGAGAGACAGAGAGAAAGGTCTTCCTTTGCCGTTGGTTCACCCTCCAATGGCCGCCGCGGCCGGCGCACCGCGCTGATCCGATGGCAGGAGCCAGGAGCCAGGTGCTTTTCCTGGTCTCCCATGGGGTGCAGGGCCCAAGCACCTGGGCCATCCTCCACTGCACTCCCGGGCCACAGCAGAGGGCTGGCCTGGAAGAGGGGCAACCGGGACAGAATCCGGCACCCCAACCGGGACTAGAACCCGGTGTGCCGGCGCCGCTAGGCGGAGGATTAGCCTAGTGAGCCGCGGCGCCGGCGGCTAACGTGTACCTTTTAAAACAGTGCCTGATCCCTTCCTCACGGGCTATTTAACCCACTCCCAAGGGAACCCCTAGCACTCTCCCTGAGCTCCTGTATACACCTGCCAGGCCTGTGAGCTCCCCAGGGGCCACGCTCCTGGGTGAAGCACAGGGACCTCCTGCCTCTTCCCAGGGGCCCTGCCACGCCCCAGCTGAACCCCGTGTGGTCAAGCTCCTGAGGTTCAGCCCAACCCCAAGAAAGTCAGAAAGCACAGGGAGGTCTGAGCTGCAGCTATGGTGACCACTGGCCTCTGGAACCTTCTGTGTTAGAACTAACTGTGTCTATGTCATCCCACAGTCTCCAGAAATGCGATACCATGTGGAATGTTGGGTTTTTGTTTGTTTGCTTTTTTTTCTCAGTACAGGTTGAGCATCACTAATCTGAAAACTCGAACTGCTTTGAAATTCAAAACTTAGAAGCACCAGCGTGATATCACAAGTGGAAAATTCGACCCCTGACCTCCTGTGACAGGTCAGTCAAAACACAGGTGCACAGAAAATACTGCATACAGTTCAGGCTCTGTTTATAAGCTGCATATGAAACATAAATAAATTTCATGTTCATTCAAAATAAAGCAGAACTCTGACCTCCCGGGTTTGACTCTCATTGCTTTACAGCTCACAGAAGAAGGGTGCCTTCTACTGGGTCTCCAAAAATCCAAATGATAGATGCTCAGTCCACACTGGGTGAGGGCCAGCTTTGTGTGCAGCAGGTGAAGCTGCCGCTTGCAACACTGGCAGCCCACATTGGAACACTGGTTTGAGTTCTAGCTGCCTTGTTTCCAAGCCAGCTCCCTGCTACTGCACCTGAGACAGAAGAGGGAGATGACCCAAGTACTCTGGCTCCTGCCACCCATGCGGGAGACCTGGATTGAGTTCCAGGTTCCAGGATTTGGCGTGGCCCAACCTCAGATGTTACAGCCACTGGGGAGTGAACCACTGGATGGAAGATTCTCTCTCTCTCTCTCTTGCTCTTTTTCTGTAACTCTGCCTTTCAAATAAATAAAATAAATCCTTTAAAATAAACAAATAAATAAATATTGATTAAATGGAATGAATAAATTCCTTTTATAAAAGTCTCACAGGTGATTCTGATGTGCAGCAGGTTTTGGAGGCACTGACTTAAAAACTCAGCCCTCAGGAACCTGATGAGGGTGGGAAACAGGCTCATGGCGGGAATGGGAGGCAGCTGAACTCTAAAATTTATTTATTTTGAAAGTCAGAGTTACGGGGGTGGGAGGAGACAGAAAGAGATCTTCCAACTGCTGGTTCACGCCTCAGATGGCTGTAATGGCCAGGGCTGGGCCAGGCGGAAGCCAGGAGCCAGGAGCTTTATCTGGGTATTCCAAGCGGGTGGCAGGGGCCCGTACATTTGGAGCATCTTCTGCTGTGTTTCCCAGGCCATTAGCAGGGAGCTGGATCAGAAGTGGAACAGCTGAGACACAACCCGGCACCCATATGGGATACTCGCATCACAGGCAGCAGCTTAACCCCCTGTGCCACAACATCACCTCAGCAGTTAAACTTTAAATTCAACTGTTTTAGAATGAATAAAAAAACCTAGTAAATCAGATGCCCACATCCCATATCCGAGTGCCTGGGTTCAATACTCAGCTGGGGCTCCTGACTCCCGCTTTCTGCTAATGCAGACCCTGGGAGGCAGCAGGTTATGGCTCAAGTGGTGGGTCCCTGCCACCCATGTGGGAGACCAGGACTGAGTTCCAGACTCCTGGCTTTGACCTCTGGTTTGAGGTCATTGTGGTCATTTGGGGAGTAACTCAGCAAATGGGAGCTCTGTCTGTATCTCTCTGCCTGTCAAAGCAAAAGAAAAGAAATGGCACACACATAAAGTCAGAGACAGGGCGCAGGGCCCCGAACTTACTCAGGAAGTCTTTCGGTTTCCATTTTTCTTTGATGAATATGATCCCTATGATGGCACTAGCTGGAAAACAAAAAGCACAGGGAAAAGAGCACTGAGGTTGCTTGAGGTTGGAGGGAGTCCCTTCGCCCAGGCCCCCACATTGCCGGCCCCTCCCCCAAACCCCCCCTCCCCCCGAGCTCGGTCCCCCTGCCCCCTCTGTTGCTCCACCTGGGAGAGGGAAGCTCCGCTCTGAGCCTTCGGGATGGTTTTCTATGAGGTGGGGGCACCGCATGTTGAGATGCTGTTGGCAACAGGTGATTTACACAAGTTACTTCTGGTCCGTCTGCCCTTGGAGGCGGGACGTTGAGGCTGAACGAGGGGACGGACTTGCTCTAGGTCCCGCAGCCGCTAAGGGAAGGCACAGCCTAACCCCAGGACTCTGGTCGGCTGGGGTTCTTGCTCCTTCCACTGGGACACCTGCCTCCGACATACCCCTCCCTGGTTCGTTGCTCTCCCTGACTTTCCCACACTCTCGGCTGACCTGTGGTGGCCCTAAAGGACCCATGTGGGGAGACCCGGAAGAAGCTCCTGGCTCCAGCCTGGCCCCACCCTGGCCATTGTGGCCACCTGGGGAGTGAACCAGCGGATGAAGATTCTCTTTATGTCTCTCTCTCTCTGTAACTCTGCCTTTCAAATAAGTAAAATAAATCTTAAAAAGTTAATCATGGGATCAGTGTTGTGACAGAGCTGATAAAGCCGCCACCTGCAACGCTGGCCTGGCTGCTCTACTTCTGATTCAGCTTCCTGCCAATGTGCTTGGGAAAGCAGCAAAGGATGGGCCCCTGCATACACGTGGGAGATCCAGAATAAATTCTTGACTCCTGGCTTTGGTCTGGCCCAGCTCCAGCCATTTCAGCCATTTGAGGACTGAACCAGTGAATGGAAGTGCACTCTCTCTCTCTCTCTCTCTCTCTGTCTTTCAAATAAATATATAAATCTTAAAAATTTTTAATCATATATTTAATATATCTAAGATATACCACTTTATCATAGGATCAATATAAAAATTGTCAATGTACTTTACTTTTAAAAATACTGTATCTAGCCGGCGCCGTGGCTCACTAGGCTAATCCTCCGCCTAGCGGCGCCGGCACACCGGGTTCTAGTCCCGGTCGGGGCGCCGGATTCTGTCCTGGTTGCCCCTCTTCCAGGCCAGCCCTCTGCTGTGGCCAGGGAGTGCAGTGGAGGATGGCCCAGGTGCTTGGGCCCTGCACCCCATGGGAGACCAGGAGAAGTACCTGGCTCCTGCCATCGGATCAGCTCGGTGTGCTGGCTGCAGTGCACCAGCCGCGGCGGCCATTGGAGGGTGAACCAACGGCAAAGGAAGACCTTTCTCTCTGTCTCTCTCTCACTGTCCACTCTGCCTGTCAAAAAAAAAAAAAAAAAAATACCGTATCTGTGATCTGGAGTGTGTTTTACACTTAGGGAAAATCCTAAGTTGGCCTTGTCCCTCTTCCTGTGAGTGCCGTGTGGTCCAGCACAGGACTAGGTCTGGATTAGACGAAGGCACACGGCTCTGGGCAGTAACAGTTTGCGGGTGAAGATGCTCTGTTCACTTTCCATCACACCAGGAGACTCACAGAGCCCGACTGTCAGTGCTTGTGACAGCAGCAACTGTAATTTTCACTGTGAATGTTTCCTCCTGCAACCAGTGATCACCGGGATGATGCACTGGCTCTATGGGAATATTCAGCTAATGATTCTGACATCCACTGGTGATCTTCATTGGAATCCCCGAGTCAAAATGATGTGTTGTAAAATAGGTTCTAGTTCTATTACACCTGTTCCTTGAGTTAGGTGTCACTCTTCTGTGGAGAACAGCTTTCCTTCCCCCTTCCTGTTTCTTTCTCTTTCTCTCTTTCTCTAAAGATTTATTTATTTGAAAGACAGAGTTACAGAGAGAGGCAGAGACAGAGAAGTCTTCCATCCACTGTTTCACACCCCAGATGGCCACAATGGCTGGAGCTGCACCGATCCAAAGCCAGGAGCCAGGAGCCTCCTCCGGGCCTCCCAAGTGGGTGCAGGGGCCCAAGGACTTGGGTCATCTTCTACTGCTTTCCCAGGCCATAGCAGAGAGCTGGATCAGAAGTGGAGCAGCTTGGTCTCGAACCAGCACCCATATGGGATGCCAGCACTTCAGGCCAGGGCTTTAACCCACTGCGCCACACTCTCTTTTTTAAAGATTTATTTATTTATTTGAAAGGCTAAGTTACAGAGAGAGAGAGAGAGAGAGAGAGAGAGAGATATCTTCCACCTGCTTATTCACTCCCCAATGGCCTCAATGTTCCCAGGTGCATTAGCAGCGAGCTAGATTGGAAGTGGAACAGCTGGGACTTGAACCGGTGCCCATATGGGATGCCTGTACTGTAGGTGACAGCTTTACCTGCTAAGCCACAGCACTAACCTCCTTCTTCTATTTCTTTTACTGCTGCTTTAAAATTCCCAAATGGTCATGCTTTTAACATCCAAATATTCCTTTATACTTTCTAAGGATTCTTTTTTCATAGTATCCTGTTCTTGTTTTTTGAATTTAAATTTTTCTCAAAGTATTCTCAGTGTACCGTGTAGTTCTTGGTTTTGCTAAAGTTTGAATCTATTTTAGGAAGACGGCCAAGGATCATGATTGAAATGGCCAAGGCCCACGACTCATGCCTTGCAAGGGAGACAGTCTGCCATCAGGAGTCTCCACTGAGGAATGAACTTGTGCATGGTAAGGCTAAAGTGTCAGAGGTCCTCCTTACCATCAGTTAGCATGACCTGAAGTCACATAAAGTCCTGCTCCCACACTTCCTGTGTTCTGTACTGTAGCTTCTTCACTTTGTCTGAAACTATGCTTCATTTGTTTTTTGGTCTCCTAAACATTGGCTATTGTTGTCTTTAATGTTGTTTTTCTTGGTGACTTTAGGAGTTCCAGGAGCCCCTTAGTTTCCAGTGGGTGATCCCTGAAGTCCTTCTATTATACTGCAGCCTCCTTTAAGATTCAGACGAATACTGACAGCATTTGTCACTCGGCCACTTATTCCTATTGTGAAGAAAGGTTCCAGGAGCCCCCTGGAGATACCAGCAATGGGCAAAGCAGAGAGCTAAGGGGACAAATCTAATTATCTATGTGGACTGGGCAGCAACAGAGGCGTCCAGAATGGGTCAGATGTAAGGTAACAGGGAAAGGCTGAGACTATGGCAAACCACTTGCCTCAGTGAAAAGCATTTAAAAGGGGCTGGTGTTGTAGCAGAGGGTAAAGCTGCTGCCTGTGGTGCCAGCATCCCATACGGGCATGGGTTTGAGTCCCAGCTGCCCCACTTCTGATACAGCTCCTTGCCAATGTGCATGGGAAGGCAGTGGAGGATGGTCCAAGTGCTTGAGTCCTTGCACCCATGTGGGAGACTTAGTGGAAGCTCCTGGCTGCTGGCTTTGGCCTGGCCCAGCTCTGGCCACCACAGCCATTTGGGGAATGAATCAGCAGATGGAAGATCTCTCTCTCTCTCTCTCTCTCTAACTCTGCCTTTCAAATAGGTTATATATATATATTTAAAAAGCATTCAAAAGACATTTTAAGTATACTGTGCATAGCATGTCTGAGGACCTCATTCACCTTGTCAGCTGCCAGATTGCCAACCATGGCCAAGCAAAAGAGGGTCTTATAGTTGGATCAGGGAAGGCAGTATGTGTCCACCCTCTGAGGCCTACGCAGGCCGGCTAGGAAGGAACGCAATGATCGATTAAAGATGTCTGCTCGGGCTGAGGAAGGGGCACACAGCAGCTATGCATACACTGTCCTCGCTGCAGAGGCCCTGAGGACGCAAGGAGGAGTAAGATGCGTAAGTGGTCTTTTCCTTTAAGAGCAGGGAAGGCCGGCGCCGCAGCTCACTAGGCTAATCCTCCACCTTGCAGCGCCAGCACACCGGGTTCTAGTCCCGGTCAGGGTGCTGGATTCTGTCCCGGTTGCCCCTCTTCCAGGCCAGCTCTCTGCTGTGGCCAGGGAGTGCAGTGGAGGATGGCCCAAGTCCTTGGGCCCTGCACCCCATGGGAGACCAGGATAAGTACCTGGCTCCTGCCATCGGATCAGCGCGGTGCGCTGGTCGCAACGCGCCAGCCACGGTGGCCATTGGAGGGTGAACCAACGGCAAAGGAAGACCTTTTTCTCTGTCTCTCTCTTTCACTGTCCACTCTGCCTGTCCAAAAAAAAAAAAAAAAAAAAAAGAAAGAGCAGGGAAGAGCTTCTGTGCAGACACTAGCTCCCCGGCAAAGCAGTTCACCGGTCGAATACCATCACTTCTGGAAGAGTTTTTTTCTAATTCTATTTTATCTGTGGCCTCATGGCCATGAAAGCTGCCTTGTCTTTGCTCCGAATCACTGGCTCAGTGACTCCAGAAATCAGTGAAATGGCTGATGAGAAAGTTGGGGATGGGATTACAATGACGCCAGCAGAGGACAAAGATCAGTGGAGACGTGTGTGTGTGTGTGTGTGTGTGTGCACTTCCTGGAGGTGCGAGGTATCCGTACCCTGCAGAAGCCTGGCTTCCCTGCACAGCTCAGCTGCCTCTGCAGAAGTGACAAGCAGTTCTAATAAACACGCTGCATCTCAAACAGCTCTTGTGGCCAGACGGCCTGGTCCAGCCCCCAGGCCTGCCACTCGCAGCCGTGTGATCCAGGGGAAGTAACTTCACTGCTTTGTGCCTCAGTTTCCCCACGTGTAAAATGGGGATAGTAACAGTTCTTCCTCAGAAGGTTGCCAGGAGGATTCCAAGAATTAAGACCCAGAAAGCACTCAGGGCAGTTACTGCTATCAAAGCAAAAGCTGGTGTGTGTCCTGGGGGTGACACGCAGGCCACACGGTGGGCGAGGGCCAGGGAAGGCGGGGTGGGGCCCTGGTCTTACCTATCACAGAGACTGCCCCGAGGGGCACGATGAGCGAGAGCGGAGCGAAGGCGTAGGCGGCGAACACGCCCAGCTCCCCCAGGAGCAGCAGGAACAGGCCCAGCCACCACGTCTTGGTCTTGAAGTAGGCCCGGGGGTCCTTGGTGCCTGCCAGGCGGATGTGGCAGTACTTCTAGAAATGCCAGAAAGAATGCGACTGTTCAGATGTCTGGGGTGGAAACACTCGGGTCCATCTATCCTAAATCTACCCCGGCCTTGGGGGGACCTGTCAGCTCCCTCTGGGGTGCGCGCTCAGGGCAGAGAGAAGCGGCAGCTGTCTCAGGACCGGATGGCTGTTCCGGGACAGCATTCTCCAGTGGCTGGGATCCTCACCTCTTTCCCCGCAAACTGCAAAAATGCACACGCCAGGGCCTCATCCTGGGGCGAGGCCTGGAAACGGGCATTCCTCACGCACATCACAGGCAGTGTGCAGGCTGGCTGGGAGCGCTGGTTGCAGGAGCCCCACTTAGGCCTGGCCTTGGAGCTGCCATCTCCCCCGAGGCGTGGTCCCCAGGACTCTGGCCTGTACCCACCTCTGTAAAAGGCCTGAAGTTCTTCTTGGGCAGTCACGTGGGGATTGGGAGACCTTGCCCTCCCCGGGATGGACCCTGGGCTCCAGCCAGGCAGTATTATTCTTTTTGGAAATGTGAACTTGGGATATTGAAGCCGAGGCAGTAACAAAGGCAGGCTAGGAAGCCCTGCTGATGCAGAGGGCCACGGCGCCACGGCTGCCCCTGGAGAGGATCCTGTGTGGGCTGCATGGAAGCAGGGAAACAGGCAGAGCTACTGCTGTGCAGAGAAGGAACCAGACAAGCAGCCGGGGGCCACACAGCCTCAGAAACCCTCCCATGCACACAGGGCGGCCGATATGCACGATGCCCACCTGTGTGTCCACAGGAAAACCCAATTCACATTCGCCCTCCCCAGGGCAGGGCCCTGGGCCATTCCTCCACAGACTCCCACCCTCCCCTGGCTGGGGGCAGCCTCCAGTGATCTTAGCTCTGCCCCTCCCCCAACATACACACATACACACACACTCACACACACACACTCACACACAAATGCGTGCGCACTACACTCAATGGGAACAGTTCTCTGGCGCCCCGGGAGGAGCTCCCCAAGCCATCAACTCGCTCCAGACTACAGGTGGGCATGAGTGGACGCATCAAGGGGGTACGGGGCGGGGCATCCACAGCAGCTGCTACCGGCGCCCCTGGAGACGTAATCACGGACAGGCTCTAATCAGAGTCAAATCTGACAAAATAGTAATTCCAACGGCCCTGCAGCACAGCAGGCAGGAGAGGAGGCGGCCGGAGCCAGGGAGGGCATCGGGAGGCGGCTGCAGGCCCCAGGGGAGCCAGTGAGGTGCTGAGCTGGGAGGCCATGTTGGGGAGGGCGTTGGCAACACTGAATCCAGAGAGATTCTGGATCAGCCCACAAGGTATGGTCCCAAGTGCAGCCCCGAGGGGGAGCAGGAGAGGCCTCACAAAGTGGGGCTGGACCCGGACAAGCCACCCTGACCCACTGCTGGACCTCGGCCCCACGTGGCGCAGGTGACCGGAACTTACCTGGAGGTTAAGAGCAATGCTGACCACCAGGTGCCCGAAAATGGCCAGGAGGGCGCCAATCAAGTTTTCCTGGAAGGAAAGTTCACAGGAGCAGACGTGAGTGGGGCCTCAGGACACACGAGTGACATCTGCCTGCTTGCTGTCCCCAGACAGCATCCTTCCCCAGGCCACAACCCAGACCCTCTGCTGGAGTCCGTTACCCACGCTGTAACCAGCGGCCTTCCTAGTTTACAAAGCCCTGCCTTGCATTGGACACTTCTAGAACACACCGCCAGCGGCTGCCTGGCCACGATGACCTGGCACGCTGAGTCCTGCTCCACCACGCCCTGCCTTGCACTGACGGGCCACGTGTCGCAGAGAAAAGCTACTTCTGGAGTTTACGAGACAATACAGGCAGGGGCACTTCTCATGGCCCAGAGCCGGCCTCAGTGAGGCTCTTCACTGGCTGACTTGCTTAGCATTTTCAGTTATTTAATTTACAAAAAGTTAATTTGAATCACCTTATGAGTAAGGTTCAGCTTTCTCGGCATGGTTTTTAAAATCTTTTAGAAAGTTTTTTTTTTAAAAAAAGGTTTATTTATTTGGAAGGCAGAACTACAGAGAGGCAGAGAGAGAGACAGAGAGAGAGAGAGAGGTCTTTCATCCTCTGGTTCATTCTCCAGATGGCCACAACGGCTAGATCTGTGCTGATCAGGAGCCTGGAGCTTCTTTCAGGTCTCCCACATGTGTGCAGAGGCCCAAGGACTTGGGCCATCTTCTACTGCTTTCCCAGGCCACAGCAGAGAGCTGAGTTGGAAGTGGAGCAGCCAGGACTCAAACTGGAGCCCATATGGGATGCTGGCACTGCAGGCAGCAGCTTTACCCGCTATGCCACAACGCTGGCCCCTAGAACTTTTTTTTAAAAAAGATTTGTTTGTTTATTCAAAAGGCAGAGTGACACACAGAGAGAGAGAATCTTCCATCAGCTGGTTCACTCCCCAAGCGGCCACAATAGCTAGGGCGAGTCAGGCCGAAACCAGAAGGTGGAAATATCATCCACCTGGGTGACAGGAACCCAGATGCTTGGACCGTCTACTGCTGCCTTCCCAGACCCATTAGCAGGAAGCTGGATGGGAAGCCGAGCAGCAGAGACTCCGACCAGCACTCCAGTGTAGGATGCCGACATCACAGTCGACAACTTAACCCACTGGCAACACCAGTCCCCTTTCTTTAACTTTAAAAATGATTATTGAACATATATTCATTGTAGCGTATTTAGGAAATATAAAGAAAAATAATAACCCAATAGAAAAGCCTTTTTTAATTCCATAATCCAGTGACAATGACTACAAACATTTTGGTTTTTCTTCTGGTCAACTTAATTCTGCCCATAAATTTAGATATTGGTGGAAATATTCATCTACTTTAGAAAAACAAGATTACAATCTGTTTTATAACCTTCTATTAAACATTATGAGCACATTTCCCTACATGCACATCTAATTCATCATTTTCAATAAATGTCAACCCATCATTTGGATGTGCCATATTTATATCACTGCTGTACTATAATTAGATATTTAGGCTGTTTCCTTTTTTTTAATTAAAAGGTTTTATTTATTTTTACTTTAAATATCTCCACCAGAGATGGAGACAGACGGAGATCTCCTACTTGCTGATTCACTCCCCAAATGCCTCCAACAGCTGGGCTTGAACCAGGCTGAAACCAGGAGCCTGGAGCTCAATCCAGTTCTTCTGTGTGGGTGGCAGGGATCCAAACACTTGAGCCATCACCAGCTGCCTCCCATCACCTGCTAATCTGCACATTAGTGGGGCCCGCGCTGTGGTGTAGCAGGTAAAGCTGCCGCCTGCAGTGCCCACATCTCATATGGTTTTGAGACCTGGCTGCTCTACTTCCAATCCAGCTCTCTGCGATGGCCTGGGAAAGCCCAAGTGCTCGGGCCTCTGCACCTACATGGGAGACCCGGAAGAAGCTCCTGGCTCCTGGCTTTGGATTGGCGCAGCTCCAGCTGTCGCAGCCATTTGGGGAGTGAACCAGTGGATGGAAAACTTTCTCTCTCCGCCTCTGCCTGTCTGTAACTCTGCCTTTCAAATAAAATTTAAAAAAATCTGCACATTAGCAGGAAGCTGGAATTGGAAGCGGGGCCAGGACTGCTCCAGACACTCTGATATGGGATCCAGGTGTCCCAAGCAGCAGCCTAACCACTGTGCCAAATGCTCCCCCACCCCAATCTCCTTTTTTAGAAACAATGATGTGATGGAAATCCTAGTTCACATTTTTTTGTGCATTTGTGTGGGTGAGTCCCCTGGCATAAATTCTTAGACGTGCAACTGCTGAGCCAGAGGGTACTCAGCTTAGCATTTAAACCACACTGCACTATGTCCTCAGCGCACACAACCTCACCACCAAACAACAGAGGAATGCTCGACTTCAGCCCGGTGTGCATCTTTTCCTCCTAGAACGAGCCTTGGCCAAGACCCTCTGCTCATGAGGCTGCCCCCACCTGCGGCCCGCCCTGTGGATTTCTGCCCAATCACAAGGGCATGGGACTTAGGGGCTCGGCAGGAAGCAGTACCAGCATAATCACACTCCCAGCACTCAGTGCACCTGGAAAGACAGATCACCAGCCTTGCACCCCAGAGGGCCAGTGGCCGAGGCCCTCTCCTCAGGACAGGGCAACAGTAGGGGACAAAGTCACCCCTGCCCCCTCCCAGCCTCCCCTGGGGTGCAGATGCTCTCAGAGAGCTGGACTGAGGTCTTCGCTGAGAAGGAGCAGCTGACACGCTTGAGGGCAGGAGGTGGGAGAGAGCCCCCCCCCCCCCCCGACTGAGGTCACCACGAGGCAGACCTTGGCTCTCCCCAGCAAGGCACAAGGGACGGATGCCAAGAGCCCGAGTTCTAGTCTCTGCTCCGCTGTCACTTCACTGCAGCCTTAGGTAAGTCCTCTCACCTGAGCAGACTGGGTGTCCCCCAGATGGCCACTAGGAGCCCACATCCCTGACCCAAGCCAGGACGTCAACAGACGCCAGGGGAATGACATGCCAGACCCCAAACTAACCCTGATTCACCTCGCAGACATGAAGACAGAATAAAGCCGCCTGCAGGCAGAAACCCGGCCCTTCCTGTGGATTTAAAAGGGCCACTGGTCTCTCTTCCTTTTTCTCCGTAAGTCCAACTTTCAAATAAATAAGTCTTTAAAAAAAAGGAAGAAAGAAAGGGGGGCTGGTACTGTGGGGTAGCGGGTGAAGCTGCTGCAAGCAATGCCGGCATCCCACACGGGCGCTTGTGTGAGTTCTGGCTGCTCCACTTCTGATCCAGCTCCCTGCTAATGGCCAGCACTCAAAAAGCAGCAGAAGATGGCCCAAGTATCTGAATCCCTGCCACCCATGTGGGAGACTTGGATTGAGTTCCATGGTCCTGGCTTCAACCTGGCCTAGTGCTGGCTACTGTGGCCACCCAGAGTGAACCAGCAGAAGGAAGACCTCTCTCTCTCTCTTTCTCTCTCTCTTTGCAACTCTTTCAAATACATAAATACTTTTTTAAGGTCACTGGAGGGGTAGTTATGAAGCACATTGGTTAGGATGACATTGGGACATACACATCTCATTATCAGAGTCCCTGGGTTCAAGTCCCAGCTCCACTTCCGATTTTAGCTTTCTGTTAATGCAAACCCTGGATGGTAGCAGTTGATGGTTCAAGTACTTGAATCCTTGCCACTAATGTGGGAGACTTGGATTATATTCCAGGCTCTTTGCTTTGGCCTGTCCCTGTTCCGGCCACTATGGGCATTTGGAGAGTGACTCAGAGGATGGAAGATCTCTCTATGACAATTTCTGCTTCTGTCTCTACCTTTCAAACAAATAAATTTAAAAAAATTAATTAAGATAAAAGAGACAGTAGAGAGCAGGTCAGCGTTTCCCTAGCTGGGTGCTCAGAGATGTTAATGTGTTAACGGGATTAGGGCAAAACAGTACCGTGTAGCTAAAAAGCTTGGGAAGTGGTGAGTCCTCAACCCAGCACTTGGAGGCCCACAGTGCACGTGCTAGAGGCTCTTGGAAGATTCTCTGTGTCAAGCCAGGCTTCTCAAACCTACTCGGCTCTAGGACTCTGAGCCTGGAATCCAGCCACCGGTGCCTGGAGTAGGCATCCATGAATCTCACCCACCTGACATTTGACTCACTTTCCTTTCCTGCTGGTAACAGCAGCCTGGTTTTGCTGGGGAGGACGGACCCCAACACTGCCCACGGATAAGGGGTTGCTGGGACTGTCCCTCAAGGTGCCCCACCCTCTCCTGGCTGATGACCATGCTTGAGCCAAGTTGGGCAAGTCAGAAACAACTTCTCTGGGATCCAAATCCCAGACTGAGAAACAGAGGTTGAAAAAGGGCTGGCCCAGGGTGAGGTCTAGACAAATCTTCAGTTTCTGCATCTCAGACCCCCGGGGCCACTGTGGCTTCTGTCTTTGTTCAAGAGCTGGTTTCCGGGGGGCAGGTATAGTGGTATGGTGGGTTAAGCTGTCACTTGCCACATCAGCATCCAATACGGGTGCCGGTTTGTGTCCTGCTAATGTGCCTGAGAAATAGCAGATGATGGCTCAAATTCATGGGTTCCTGCCACCCAGGTGGGAGATCAGGATGGAGTTCCTGGCTCCTGGCTTCAGCCTGGCCCAGTCCCAGCTGTCATGGCCATTTGGGGAGCAAATCAGTAGATGGAAGATTGATCTCTGTCTCTTACTTTCCCTTTCAAAAAATAATACATCTTTTACAAAAGAGCTAATTTCTGTTGCTTGGAGCCAAGAGTGGAAAAGAATCAACACTTCATGGAATGTAGTTTATCATTAGTCCAGCTTCTTGTAAACATGAGCAGGTTGGCCCCTCTCCGCTTTCTTAGAAACACGGCTTTGATGGACAAAAGGTCACCTGCTTTTACTTTTTTATATTAAAAAATCATAACTGGGGATGGATGTTGTAGTGCAGTGGGTTATCACTTGGGACCCCACATCCTATATTGGAGTGTTAGTTCGGGGGGGAGGGAGGGAAGAGAGAGAGAGAAAGGGAGAGAGAGAGGGA